AGAAGGAGAGAGGGAGAGGAAGAGGAAAAAAGAGTTGCTTAGAGCCTGGGACTCTGGCTCCAGGGCGCCCTCTAGGCTGGCTCCAAGGATTGATGCTGGCCCTTGATGTTGGGTGAACCTTGACCCTCCCCAGCATGGGAAGGGTACCATGCAGCAGAGGAAGGGGGTCTGCAAATACTAGCCCTATGTGTTTGTTGCAATCTGTGGCTCGTCCACTTCAGGCCATTCCCCACCATGACTTCGCCACAGCCTTCTGTGGTCACATACTGCTCTAGGCTGACCTTTTCCTTCTCTTCCAGACACCAGAAGGCCCCTTCCTGGTGCAGGGCTCTGGGCTTCATCTTGAACATCAGGATAGATTTGAATTTTTTCTACTCAGAAAGTTCCAGAGGAGTGTCTTGAAATCGCAGTGAGGGCTCTGAGGCAATCTGGTTTGAGGCCTGCACCACAATTTAGGGTCAATGGCGGTGCTGTGAAACACTGTCTTCTGAGCACAGCAACCATTAGCATCTTCATTGGAGCAGTTCTGACTACCCACAGGAGACCTTCAGAAGACTGGGCTGTTATCCTTCACAGAAGGAGAGGGTTGGAGTCCTTAGACCCTCATCTGAGAGTTCAGGCCCTCCCTCCTTCCTAGGCCCACTTCCCCAGCTGCATGTAACTCTACCCCAACAGCGCATGGTCTCAGGAGATGTTAGAGTACACAGGAGTTGGATGATTGTCCAAAGGGTGTGTGGGGGGGTCCTCTGTCTATGCAGTTTTGAGGAGATACTGTCCCATGTTAGAATGGGTGATGTGGCTGTTTTGGGGTCACCCACATGCCTATAAGTAATCTCTCACCCATGTATTTGTAAGTAAGCCCCCCAAATGTTCAGTTCACTTGGGTAATCATGTTGAGGGGGGCTGTCACTGGCATCCTATCTGGAATGTTGTCCTTCCAGAAAAAGTCACACAACAGACAGGTAGTGATATTTGACTCTGGGTTAGACCTAGAGACAGGTGGGGGCTACAGCAAGGTGACAGGTTTCTGAAGAACAGATTATCTCTGAGGAACAAAGCTGCCATGTGGGCCGGGGGTAACTATATGGGGCCACAGCAGGGATTCACAGAGGATGTCAGAGTCAGGGGGAAGGGTCTAGGAAGCGGGTAGATACAGGGCCCTGAGGTGCTATGAGAGCAGAGGATGAGGCTGGAATGGAGGGCTCACTCCGGTGGGTACCAGAGTTCAATCAGGTAAGGATGGGCATTCCAGAAAGATCCATCAGCAGGAAGACAGGAGGTGTTGAGACTTCAGAGGTGACAGTGGTAGTCAGGATGTGGGGAGTTGAGAGAGACAGTGCCTTAGATGGCCCTGGGCTGGATGAGGCAGGGGACAGGCCATGTGGGTCAAGATGCTGGTGTCTTTCTGAATGTTACCAAAGGAGGAAATAATTCAGGTCTCCTCTGGGAACAGCCTTGAGTATCAGGAGGATGGGGTCTGGCTGGGTTAGCTGCCAATGTGTCTTTGGAGCTCAGAGGACTCAGGGGCCTGAGATGTCCCCAGGAGAGCCTAGAGCTCAGACCTCTGCTCCTAAATCAATATGGCTGCCCCTACATGGCCAAAGGCTGGTTCCTATCAGTGCTTATTGTCAGCATGGGACACCCAGGGTCTGATAGTTTGACCATGACCTGCCCTGACTTCAAGAGACACTTGGGGTCTCCATGTGTTTAAGGTCCTTCTTCATTTGTTTATATTTATTTATTTTTAATTTTTAAAACAATTTATTATTAGCAGGGGGGTGTCCCACAGCATGCATATGAGGTCAGAGGACAACTTTGCGACGTCTTTTGTCTCCTTCCACCTTTATGTGGGTTCCATGAATCATGAAGACTCAGGTCTTCAGACTTGCACAGCAAACATGTTTACCCGGCAAGTACATTCATCCTCTGAGCCATCTTGCCTGGCTTGTATGTTTTTAGATAGGAGTCCCCCTACGCAGTTCAGGCTGGCTCAAACTCTGATTCTCCTGCCTCAGGGTGCGCAACCTGGTATTCCAGGTGTGGGCCACCACACCCAGCTTTAAGCTCATCCTTTAAAACTCACTATGGGCGTTACTTCTGAGAGAACCTTCTAGGTGAGAGCCCTAGAAACAGCCTCCCACAGCAGATCTGCTCCCTTCTTTGTACCCCTCCCCTGTGACGTGAGAGAAGCATAGGGTCCACTGTGCACCCAGGGTAAACATCAGCACTGAATAAGCTAGTATTTAAGGAAGCAAACACTTGTCAATTGAGCATCACAGAGGAAAACTGCTTTTCTACAAGGAAGGAAAATGTGTACTCTAACTAGACCTGTGCCTTTGAGATTCCACTTGTACCCTCACTGGCCTTGGCAGGGCAGGTGCTTGTTTTCAGAGTACCTTAGGGAGCTGGGCATAGTAACACAAAACCTATAATCCCAGCACTGGGAGTGGAGGCAGGAGGATCAAGAGTTCAAGGTCATTCTGAGCTATATAGTGAGTCTGAGTCCAGTCTGGTTACAAGAGACCCTGTCTCAAAAACTGAAAACAAAATAAAATAAACAAAAAACAATGGAAAGGGGGCTGGAGAGATGCTCAGTGGTTAAGGGCACTGGCTGCTATCCCAGATGACCTGGGTTCAGTTCCCCGTACCAACATGGCAGCTAACAACCATCTGTAATTCCAGTCTCAGGGGATCCGACGTCCTCTTCTGACCTTTGTGAGCATCACATGCATGTGGTACACTTACATACATGCACCCAGGACTCCTCTTCATGCCCTCAACCTGATCCTACAAGCCAGCATTAATAGGGAAATGCCAAAGTGGAATGGGGTATTTAGAGACTGAAAACAATTTAGGAATTTTGGGTTCATTTATCCACACTGAAAAACATGCCTAAATCACCGTCAGTGTGAGGCCTAAACCGGCCTCTCTGGCCTTGGTCTGGGGTGGCGGTTCACTCTCCAGCTCCACTCTGGGCGTTGCTTCAGCCTTCCCCTGAGGCGTGTTCCCATCTCTAGTTACCTTGGGAAGAGTCTCGCCAAACCTCACCACCAGCTCTCCTTCCCGTCCTTCTTCATTTTCTCCTTCTTGACTCTTGACAAAACCTGTTGGAAAACAAGAGGCCAGCTTGCAAACATGTGTGGAAGGCCCAGACAGAAAAGACTCCCAGGATCACCCTCGCTGGACCATGGAAGACCGTCTCCCCCTTTTGAAATCTCTAGGGCTTCCCCATCATTTAGGGGTCAGACTAGCTGGGGATTCTGTGTTTGTGCAGAGAGTGGTCATTTGCCAACACGGTCTAATTATTTTTAGGAAAATCAAAGAGATTCCCTTTCCTTTTCAATTCCTCTTTGCAACAAACCAGGCAGCAAAGAAATCATCATATCGGCAGGCAAGAAGATTGGGAAACATGACAGCTCATCCCACGCCATTCAAGACAGCAGCCTTTGAAATTCTAATTTAAGCTTCTAATACACTGTTTCCATAGAAATCTATGCAAATGTCTCGATAGTTTATTAAAAACACCTGCACAAAAACCCCTTATCCTGGTAGGAACAGTTTTGGCCGTGCCTGCAGAGCTGGGGCTTCGGGACTTCGTGGAGAAGGCAATGCTATGCTATCCCCTGGAAGGGCTGGTGGGCTGCATTGGGTTGGAGAAGGAAGAAAGGCATGCTAGGGCGTGGGAGGGGATGCCAGATCCTGGCTGGCAGCACTCTTGAGTTCTAGGAGCATGGGGTCCCTGCCTCTGTTTGCGGAGTTGGTTTCCCTCCCTCCCCTGCCACTCTCCAGACCATTCCAGGGAGAATTAGAAAGCAGGCAGACCTCTTGTAATACCACAGAGCTTCCTACAATATGCTTAGAGACGTCGGGAAGAAGCTGTTTCCTAAGCCAGTGTGCACAGCACTGCCTCCTGAGATGGGGCGCTCCTCCCACCTTGTTCCAGCCTCAGTGAGCCACCCGTGCTATGACACGGAAAGAGAAAGAGAAGCAGGGCAACAGCAGCCACAGTCGTTCAGGCCCTGCCTGTCTTCGAATTCTAGAGCTTTGTTCAACACTCTGGCTGAGGCAGAGCCGTGGGGGGGGTGGGGGGGTGGGGGGACAGGACAGGACCGGGGATGATGAACACAACACATGGGTAAGAGTCTGCCCCATGAGAACGTGGAGAAGCCAGCTGCTCAAAGGAACAGAGGAGTTACTACATCGCTTGTTGTCCTGTCACCAGGGCTGAGGTAGTGGCCACAGAGACCAGAGGGGTAGGAAGGGGGCTTGCAACCAATGGGTATACCCCACCTGCAGCCCACTTCTCTGAGCCCACTGAGGCCCACCCACGAAAAGCCGCATCAGAAAGCTGGCATCAGAAAGAAAAGGAACAGGGCAAGGCATCCTCCATGAACAGACATCTATGAGAAAGCATTAGCCCGAAGGGTGTCTGCTGAGCCACTTACTCTCTAAGCAGCTTGAGTGGAACTCCAGGTAGAACTTGGTTTGAGACTTGGTCTTGAGTGTGGCGTAGCATGCAAGGAACTCGATCTGCCCTTGGCTGTCCACAGTGCCGGGGCCTGTAACAGGAGAGACTGGGGATTTAACTGCACAGTGCGCCTACAGATGGAGATTGCTCCTAGCTTCCGCACCATGCTGAGCTCACTCTTAGGGCCCAAGGACTGGGAGTGTCCAAGTGGAAGGAGAGGTTTTCCTTGAAGTAAAGCTTTGAGATCTGTCACCCAAGCTGAGTATCCCTGAACGATGGTCACACTTCTCTGATCAGTCACAGGCTGGCCATGTCGGGTTCTGAGCAGAAAGAGTAAAGAGTTCAGGGACCCAAGACCTGTTCTCAACTATGTCACCAAAATTGTGTGGCCTCAGACAACCCCCAGAACCTCACTGTGTAGTCTCCTAACTCATTCTGTTTTGTTTTTAGAGACAGGGTCTTGCTAGATAGCCCAGGCTTGCCTGGAACTCACTATGTAGCCAAGGCTAGTCTTGAACTTGTGATCTTCCTGCCTCAATTTCTCAAAGACTAAGATTACAGCATGAGCCACCACAACCAGATTTTCCCTCTAGTTCTTACAGAGTTTATAAATAATTCAGAGCTTCATCATCCAAATCTGCTCGGTTTCCTAGTCCACAGTGATGGAGACCTGCCCTTACTTCCTTAGGCACCGTTATCTCCAGGCCTCACTCTGGGCTCTGAGAACACTCAGCTAATGGGCGCATAATTCTGTTAGTTTAGGTGGTGTTTTCATAAGCATCTTCAAGCTGTTTGTCCATTTGTTTGTTTTTGAGACAGGGTCTCCCTATAGCCCCAGCTGGCCTGGAACTCACTATGTAGACCAGGCTGGCCTTGAACTCACAGAGATCTGCCTGCCTCTGCCTCCCAAGTTCTGCAATTAAAGGTGTGAGCCACTAAACCTGGCTTTAAGCTGGTTTTCGTTATTGTTGTTTTTGTTTTGTGAGACAGGGTGTCATGTATCCCAGGCTGGCATGTACCCCTGGGTGTCATGTATCCCAGGCTCCCTAGGCAGCAAAGGATGACCTTGAACTCCTGATCCTCCTACACCTACCTCCTAAGTATTAGGATTGCGGGTGTGCACCACTATGTCTGATCTTGAGCTGATTTTAAGCAAGTGATTTTAATTTTCGCTTCTTTACTATAAATTCTAAGGCGCTTGAAAGCAAGAACAAGTGTTCCCTTTCTCCCTCCGTGCCTACCGTCCTTCCTCTTTTCCCTTTGCCTAAACCCCACAGCACTCAGGCGAGACTCTCCTTAGACTGATGTCCCACCAAAGCTCAGTCCAGATGACCAATATTTTCAAGCTTCTGCTATGAGTCCCAACAGAAGGAAATCAAGCCAGAAACTGAAGATGCTTCACCCAGTGACAGAGGAGATGACAGAGGCTCTACTGTCAAAACCATAGAACTCAGAGAAAGTAGGGATGGGTGGGAATAGGGAAGAGGTAGAGCTTAAAGAAGCAATATTCTGGAATAGCAGTGGCCAGATGTTGGAAGGAGGCAGGACAGAGGTCAAGACTTGGATGGAAAAGAGAGGTCACATTGGATCCCAAGATGTTTGACCTAGCAGTAGAAAGAAGAGTATCCAGAAAGATAGTGCTCCAGCCTCATCTACATCTCTCAGCACAGAGGGCTCAGAGTGAGACAGCCTGTAGTTGGGTTCCCCACATTCAGTCTTCTTAAATCATCTAAGTCATCTGCTGTGCAGAAGTAGGAGCGGGCAGAGGAGATGGCAACACGGCTCCCTGGTCAGTCACCCAAGGCTGAGGGCTGGATGGACTTGTTAGTAGGAACACCCAGCCCCTGCCTAGATGAGAGTGGCCTGGTAACAAGGGCTGGCTGGATAATGTGAAACTGTACCTACTCTTCTAAATCACAGCTTACCCTAGTGTTCCATTCATCCACATCCTACCTCCTCAGTTTTTACCATCCACCTACCAGGCACCCACGATAACATTTACTTAATATTTTCTTTAATTAGACTCAGTTTTTAAACTTAAATGCAATTAAATAAAATACACACGAATGGGGGAGACCAAAGTACTTGCTTACCCAGAAGAGATATATTTAAAGTACGTTCAAATAAATAGAGCACTAATAATCATGCATGCCTCCCCATTCCAGACTCTGATGGTAAACAGCCCAACTGATTTACCCAATTTTTCAGACTACGCCAAAATGAGTTTAAAAAGTAAGTTTTCTGGATCGAAAACTTGATGTGGCCTGGATACAAGAGACCAGGTGGACAGATTGTGGGCCAGCAGGAGAGATGGGCCTTTATCCAACACAGACAACTGATGGCTTACAACCAGGTGATAAGTGCTTAAGGTCCCTTGTCTCTGAGGTAAACAGAAGCTGATGCTGCCCACTGCTTACCGTTCTTGGAGACAAACTGTGACGTGACTCCTGCTTCAAATGTGGCAAAGACAGGGCTGTGGTCACTTGTCATGATGTCACTGGTACTGCCTGTGAGGAAAGGAAGGCATTTCTATGTCAGGAAGGAGAAGTCCTGGTCAAGTCTTGAATGGCAGGCCACAGCAGAGACAGGCTGAGACCTGCATTCGAGCGCAGGAAGTGAAGACATCTGCACTAGCCTGCTGGATTAGGAATGAGCACCAGTGCTATCACCCCTGCTGACAGCCAGCCAGCCCCAAATCTGAGAAGCTCCCTCCTCAGTGTGTCCAGATGATTCTAAACAGCAGAGATGAGCTGCATTGTCCAGAGGATTGTGAGCAAACGGTTGTTTTAAGACACTGGGATGTAGGGAGTTTGTTATGCAGTGATAGATGTGGTATGTTAATAGCCAGAAGAAAACCCAGACTCCCAACACCCCACTTCTTGAGTTCTGGATATGCCCTTCCCTTATCATTCCCCAAACTTGGCCTCTTCTACCCCCAACTCCTTAAAGCCTTCCACTTCTTCTGGCACGCAATGGAGTAGTAACAAAACCTGCACCTTCTGTCTTCACGCCGCAAGCCTGGCCTTCAAAGGAAGACTTTGCTGAGCTTGGCTCTCTTCTCTGTCCCTCATTCTCTGGTCAGAGGTGCGGTGTGTACCCTCTTTGCTCCTAGTTTCCACTTCCAGACCTAGTTCTACTCTCCTTCCCCTTTCCCTAAAACCTGCCAAGGTTAGGATCCAAGTGGGAGGTGGCAGCTCTGTAAGCTTCCATCACTTCTGTAGAGGCAGCTGGCTGGTGGAGGCAGTGGTAGGCTCTTTCTAGAGACAGGAATTGAGAAGATCCTCAGGCTGAAGGATGTGGGAAGGAGAAGTCCATTGATTGACCCTGTACACTACTGCAAAGTGGTCACAGGGCTGGAGAGTGCAGGTGGAAAGGGGGGCTAGCAGGGAACATTCAGGGAGGCGTGTGGGCAGAGGGTGGGAGATGGCCGTTTTCAGGCATTTCTGTTGTTTTGTTTGGCTGGTTTTAGCAGTACTGGGGATTGAACCCAGGGCTGTATGCAGGACAGGCAAGCACTCTACTCCTGAGTTACAGCCCCCGCCTCAGTTTCAGGTTCTAGATGTAGAACAACGTGTTGCTTGGCCAAGGCTGTAAGTGTGAGACGCTGCCTTACCACACATCTAAAGGTGCTGTGTGAAGTTCATCCAGTGAGATATTCCAGGAGTCAGAATACAAGAGCTGAGGAAATGCCTGTGTTAAACTATCCCACAGCAATGAAAGACACACACAGATGAAGGAAACAGAAATTATGGCTATCTGTGAGATCAGAGTTGAATGATCTCCAGACAGAATGGGACCATGAAGGTAGCCCCAGGACAGTGGCAAGATTCGCCCATGTAGGTAGATGTACCTGTGTCATGCAGTGCCTGTGGAGGTCAGAAGAGGGCATCAGATCCCCTGGAACTGGAGTTTTAGAAGGTTATTAGTCACCATGTGGGTGCTGTGACTCAAACCTGGGTCCTCTGCAAGAGCAGCCAGTGTTCTTAACCACGGAGCATCTCTCCAGACCCACCTTGAGGTGTCTTTGGACCTCCCCACATTCATATGTAATCACTTGTGATATGTATTAGGTAGAAGCATGGGAAGTTCCCATGGCTGTCTGTTTTGCACCTTTGAAAACATCACTTTCATATGGCTTAAACTAATACGGTTCTTTTTAAAAGAATAAAGCTGTTCTTTAAAAGTGCTCTGTATGGCTCTGATGAGATGGCTCAGTGGTTAAGAGCACTGTCTGCTCTTGCAAAGGACCTGGGTTTGGGTCCCAGCACACAACCATCTATAACTCCAGTTCCAGGGGGATCCAACACCTTCTTCAGGCCTCCACAGGCATTGCATGCCTGGGTGCACTTACATACATTCAGGCAAAACACTCATACACATAAAATAAAAATAAGTAAAAATTTAAAAATCAAAAAACATAAAAAGTGCTCTATAATGTAAATGTCTCTATGATCAGTCTATTTATTGTTTCAGCCCAAGGTGGCCAAGGATGCATCAACTCTCTCAGGCTACCTGACTAGGGATCCAGGGGTTCTCTCATTTTCCAGACAAGTAGACCAAAGTTCTTCAACTTGCTGCTGTCCTTAGAACCCAAACCTGGTCTATGTTCCCCCAGGGCTCCACTCACCATAGGACTGACACACCACGTGCACCAGGGGGTAAGACTTCCAGAGGACACGGTCGCACCAGGACGGCAGATTGTACTTCATCTGCAAGGCAACAACACAGCCTAGTGCACCTGCTACTTTGGTTTTCCTTGGTAAAAACAGGAATAAACCAGGTGTGGTGGCGCAGGCCTTTAATCCCAGCACTTGGGAGGCAGAGGCTGGCAGATCTCTGTGGGTTCAAGGCCAGCCTGGTCTACATAGTGAGATCCGGGCTAGCTGGGGCTACAAGAATACCCTGTCTCAAAAAGATCAAGGGGGGAGCGGATAAAGTACTAACTGGGGTGTCCGCCATCCTCAAGTTTCTCTGCTGTTGGATCTTCAGGAAGTTTCCCCACAGGTAGCTTTAAATTCTTTTTAAGTGTTTTTCTTAGGTCAGTGTACAGAATAACGGGTTTCACCATGAGTTTTTCATACATGGACCTTGTGCTTTGCTCACATTTACCTGCTCTATCTCCCTCTCTCGTTCCCTTCTTCCAGTGCCCTTCCTCCCCCATATAGTACTCCTAGTGTTGTCATGTTCTATACATGTGATATGTACACATACATATGCATAGGTATCATATATAATATATATCTATAAACATAAATAAGTATATATTTCAATCTAGATTCTGTATATTAGAAAAAATGTGGCATTTTCACTTCTGAATCTGGCTTATTTCACTTAAGCTTTAAACTCCTAATTGGCCTAAAGTCCCAGCTCTATTACTAAACCCCCTGCATTTGGGTGTCCTGGACCTCTGCTCTTGAACAAGAACATTTACCTCGCACCTGGCTTCTTCATCGCTGTAGTATCTCTCCCATCTTAACCTTTGATGTTCTTTCTGTCTCAGATGATCCTCTGCCTGATATTTTAATCCAGTCTCCACTTACCTTCAAATATTTATTTTAGGAACATAGTCCAGCCATGCCCACCCCCACTTTACCCATCCATCCATCCATCCATCCAACTCCCACTTACCCACCTACTCAATTGCTCAAATACCTACCATGTGACAAGCCCTGTGCTGGGCCTCAGGCTCCAGTGGTGGGCAATGTCCACTGGGTGATGGCATTGCTATTAAACACCCCTTTAACTCAAAATCTTATCTGCTCAGGCATTCCAGCTCTTTTCCACAAACCAAGGTGCCCACCCTAAAACAGCCTATTCCTGCAATATCCCTAAATTCACGTCTTTTCTTTCAAGAATGTTCTCCTGTCACTTTCAGGAAAGTACACAAGCTTAGGTGTGTAGCTGGTGGGTTTCACTCTTGCACATTTCCTCCAAACCACTGCCCAGATCACATGCTGAAGATTCATACTAACCCTTTGCTGTCAACACGATTGTGACTAACATCCCCATTGATTAATTCTTATTCTTGAACTTATATAAATGGACTCATCAGTCTATACTCTGTGTCTGACTTTTGTAATGTTTTTGTTGCTTTTCAAAGTTCCCTCATCTGATGGCCAAAGGAGTATTCCACTAGACTTATTCTCCATATTTATCTATCCTAATGTTAACAGCATGGAGTGTTTCCAGTCTTAGAGACCATAATGAAGCCGCTCTGAACATTCTCATACCTGTCTCTTGGGGAACAAATGTATTAATTTCCCCTGAGTATACATGAAGTGGAATTACTGGATCACAGAAGAGGTACATGCATGTTAGTTCTCAGATGCTCAGATGATGCCAAACACTTCTTAACATAGTAGGTGTTCTGCTATCATCTATCTATCTATCTATCTATCTATCTATCTATCTATCTATCTATCTATCTACCATCTATCTATCATCCATCCATCCATTTAGAAATCAGGGACCTATCCAGATCTATTGCTTCACAACCTCTGGGGATGCGGCTGAGCATCTGTTTCTGAAAACACCACAAATACGTCATCTGTCCATCCTCAGGGCAGGACACCCCCCCAGCCCACATGCAGTCTGACCTCATCCCAAGATTCCACTTATACTGGTCTGTTCAAGTCCACCAAACCTCTGAACCCCTTGAAGCAGCTCCAGGTCCTCCTTCTCCACTTGCATGTCACAGCACTGACCACAAGTCCTTCCCGAGCACCCTCTAATCTCACAATGGAGAGGGCTCCCAAGTGGCCCATACCTCTTCTTTCTCCCCTCACTCCTTGGTGACCCCATTTACTCCCACTGAAGAGGCTGTTTTCTCTGCACTGAGAATTCCCAGATCTGCAGACCCAGCCCTGGTATCTCTCCTTTAGGGCCAGTCTTGAATCTTTACCCGCTTTCTGGACATTTCCCCAGGGATTTTGCACTCATATTACATAATCACTGTGTCTGCAAGCACGCTGCTTGCCCTGGCCTGGCTTCCTACATCAGCAGCCACCACATCTTCCCACACACCTGCTGTTCTTCTTTTTCATTTTTAGTGTGTCCTCTTTACTGGAACCCCATGACTGCCCCTCACTGGCCCCTGCCCCATCCTCAGCCTTAGCACTCCTGTGGACCAACATCTTTCTCTTGAACAGACTTGAACAGACTGGTGTAAGTGCTGCTCTGATCCCCAGCAGCACTCTCCATGGCTGCCTGATACCTGCTCCCACCCACCGCCCCAGCTCAGTCACTCTGGTCTCAGACCAGCGTTCCTTCAGCTTATACTGGGTCAAATTCAGATCATCCCTTTCCAGCCCACAATGAACCCCCATCTACTCTGAGGTTAGTGGACAATTCAGAAGAGGGCCTGGCCTGGGTGTCTCCATCCAACTGGAGCAGCAGTCCTGGGCTCTCTTTTTCCTCTCCTGCGGGTCTGGAATCCACCCATTGCTCTGCCTTTCCCTACTTGTCCCTGGCCTTGAGCAGTGCCTAGATCTCATCCAGACATCACTTGGAGCTTGGGGTTGTAGCTCAGTGGTAGAGCACTTGCCTAGCAAGTATAAGGTCTTGGGTTCCAATCTCCAGGACTACAAAACAACAGCAACAAAACAAACAAATAGAAACAAAGGAAACAAAGTGGACAGCACTTTGAGCTTTCTCTTTGCTTTCTTAGTTTAAGCAGCTCTGGGTACCCATCATCTGATGCTGTTCATCCCCAAACCCTGCCCTGGACTGGCCACCCTTGGGTTAAGCTCCCTGGAAGGGGACAGACACCAGACTTGGGTGCTCCCATGATGCCTTCAACCTGAAATGTGTCACTCTGTCTCCCTTCACACCTCCCTGACAAAATCTTCCCTGTCCTTCAAGGCACCTCAGATGGCATCTCTAGGAAGCCTCCTCATCCTCCCCAGTGGTTGTCTCCTCCTTTGCCTGTTCCGTTGTACTTAGTACTATCATGCTCTGTCTGGGGTAGTCGGGTACTTGTACTTAGTACCAGTATACGCTGTCTGGGCAGTCAGGTGCTTTTACTTAAGTGTCCTCATAGTCTGTCTGGGGTAGTCAGGTGCTTGTACTTAGTACCTTCATGTTCAGTCTGGGGTAGTCAGGTGCTTGTATTTAGTACCTTCATGTTCAATCTGGGGTAGTCAGGTGCTTGTGCTTAGCACCATCATGTTCAGTCTGGGGTAGTCAGGTGCTTATACTTAGTACCATTATGTTCGGTCTGGGGTAGTCAGGTGCTTGTACTTAGTACGTTCATGTTCAGTCTGGGGTAGTCAGGTGCTTGTATTTGGTACCTTCATGTTCAGTCTGGGGTAGTCAGGTGCTTATACTTAGTACCATTATGTTTGGTCTGGGGTAGTCAGGTGCTTGTACTTAGTATGTTCATGTTCAGTCTGGGGTAGTCAGGTGCTTGTGCTTAGCACCATCATGTTTAGTCTGGGGTAGTCAGGTGCTGGCTTGTTCCCCCTGTCAACTCCCTGTGGTCAACATTCACTCAGCTTTGGAGGTACAGTTTGCACCAAGATGCAAGTCAGCATGTGAGGACTTTTTGTTTTGCTTTGTTTTATTTCATGCAGAATCTTCTACAGCTCAGCTTGGCCTCAAACCCACTGTGTGGTCACTGTGTGGTCAGAGATGACCTGGGACTCCTGATCTTCCTGCCTCTACATCCTGAGTGCTGGGATTACAGAAGTGTGGTACCACTCCCAGCTTATTTGATGCTGGAGACAACCCAGGGTTTTGTGCATGCTAAGCAAGCATTCTACCAACCGAACTACCTCGACGGCCCCAGCATGTAATCCCTAATATTTTTGTTGTTGTTGCCTGATGATGGAGGATGCGTTCCACTTCCTAGGAACTGACATGAGATGTGAGTTGGGGACAGGGCAGGAGCCCCGTCTGGACTTACCCCTGTCGCTTTCTGCTTTGTGTAGGCATACTTGTCCCTAGTCAGTCTTTCGAATCGGTAGGTGGGTGCGAAGGTGATCTCCTCCTCCTCTGAAAACACGATGTGTCAGTTCAGGTTCCCTGACTGTCACCTCAGACCCAGCTTCCCTCCTCTGCACACACAGCCCTTCCCCTGGGCAGGACATCGGGGCGAGAAGATGGTGGGAAAGGATGCAAGCGAGAGACAGGGGCCCTCACCAAAGTGCAGGAAGACCTTCTGCTCCTTCCTCTCCATGAGCAGCTGGTCGTGGGCCAGCAGATCCACGTACTGCTGCTGCTTGATCTTCTGGATGATGGCCTCTGCCTCCTGCAGTGAGGACATGCCACATCAGACCCTGCTCCTTGCCTCACTTCCCACGGGCCACACCAGGTGGGCCTCCGCGGGGTGGGCTGCTGTTTCCTGGCACTCAGTCACTATCTAAGGAAACTCCAGAAGAAATGCATCATGGCAGTAACTGGCTCCTGCCTGATCCCGATTTGCATATAGATCTGTTATTTTTACACTTTACTGTCATTCTCAGTCACAGCTCATGAGACAAATGGGGTGTCACCTTTGCTTTCTCTGTGGGAACAGGGGCAGCCAGCCATGAACTCGCTAGCGCAGGGGAAGCCCTAGCTCTGTAACCTCTGAGCATCGCTCTCCTTGATACCAGCTAACCTAACTACAAGAATTGGTGCCCCATTGGTAGGATACACTGGCCTTGGAGTTAAGCAGTCCTCTTTCCTGCCCACTTTTCTGTGACTTTGAGCCAGGTGCTGAGCTATGACAGCCCTTCCCCGAGAAGGTCAGGGTATGGACCCTGCCCATGGTCCCACCTGCCTGCTCATTCTCAGGGAGGAGAGAGGTTACCAGGGGGTTTCCTGTGAGGAAGGCTTGGTTGGGCATTAACCAGAATTAACTGCAGATGCTCACTCTGTTCAGTTCACAGAGGCCCAGAAGTGGCTGAGGGACAGGGGGTCATGGAGAGACATGGAACACCCAGGTTCATCCCAATCAGCAATGGCATATAATCTTCACTCAATAGTTTTCTTAGCCCCCACAGTCCCTGCCTATAAAACCGGGTCAGCTCTGCTGGGTTCCCTCTGTCCCTCACAGGACAGCAGTGTGCAACCATATTTAAAGTCCCTCATTGGGGGGTGAAACAGGTCACTAACCCTTATTTTTTAGACAGAAGGACATTCACTGTTCTACCCTATGCCTGTCCCCTTCTTCAACTTAAAAAAATTTATTATTTTTATTTTATGTTTATGAGCACATTGCCTGCATGTGTGTAGGTGCACCCATATCATGTAATGTCTGTGGAAGTCAGAATAGGGTGTCGGATCCCCTGAACTAGAGTTTCGGATGGTTGTTAGCTGCCACATAAGTCCTAGGATTTGAAACTGTAAGAGTAGCTGGTGCTCTTAACTACTGAACCATCTCTCTAGCCCCTGCCTTCTTCAATTTTTAAGAGCATGAAAAACAACCATGTGTATTCTAGACTCATCCTGTGGTCACACCTGTCGGCCCCTTTCCCACGGGGCAGGCAAGTCATGTCTTAGACCTGCTAGTGACCCCATGGTTTGTTGAGATAAAGTGAGCTGGTGGTCTCAAGACTCCTGCCCTTCCTGACCCAGCCTGGTGGGCTGAGGGTCGCTGCTGGTTGGCTAGAGGACCAGAGAGATGGTGACAGTGAGGAGAAGTGGCCACGGAAGTCTTGGGGGAGGCAGACATGATTGGAAGGGAGCTGTGAAAGAGGGGCTGAGGCTCTGTGAGAGGGACAGCTTCAAGTTCCTGAGTGGAGCTGCTGCCTCAGCCCAGCTCTGAATCTTCTGGGGTCTCTGTGATCCTCCGCTCAGAGCTGACTCCCGGGAGCCTGTCCCTGCAGCCCTCTCCTGGGCGGAAGTTCCTTACCCAGGCGGGCAGCTCCACACGGTAGTTGAGATCTCCAAGCCAGAAGAGGTGGGTAAAGCGGTGAGTAATGTTAAAGGGGCTCAGCTTCTTGTCTCCCAGGGCCAGGAACCTCAGGATGTTCATGTAGTTTTGGTTTCGCCTAATAAAGGAAAACAGAGGCCATTTGGCACAGGGCACTGGCTCCTTCCTCTGCCGAGATAGGAAGTCAGAGGGGAGTGGAGACTCAGATGGAAGCCCTGTTTTGGTGGGCCCCTGAGTGCGCCTGGGACAGCTGGGAACACAGAGGCCCCTCAGCCTGAACAACAATCTACTCAGCAGTCAGTCAGTCAGTCAGTTGTCAGTGTTCCAGATGGCTAACCTCATGCCTAGGCCACCAGCAAACAATATAGGCTTTGCTGTGCAAGGGTGTCCCCGGCAAGGATTTCCCTTTAGAAATGGGACAGGCTAAGTTAACGATACAGATGTCTTTTCTGAGGCCCCTACTGTGATACGGTGGAGGCCCAGGTCTGTGGTCAGCCTTGAGCAGGTGATCAGGGAAGGGGGTGGGGGAGGGTTGGTTAAGATGCTATCCCAGCACTTGGGGGAGTGAGTCCCATTACCTGAGCTTTTTTTCACTTCCAGAAGTTAAGTGGCTGTTAACAAACCCCAAGGAAGTTCCGTTGAACATGAATGACACCCCCACGGCTCCCTTGTTCCCTAAGGGAAGGGATTAAAAAAAAAAAGAGGAATCAGAATATCAACCAAGCAGGCTTGCCAAGGGGTCGGAAATCAAGGTGAGGGAAGGGCTACACGTGGCATTAACAAAGAGTGAGAGGAGCAGGCTGAGGAGAAAGCAGGATCACCACGGTGGGATGTGCCAGTGACAGGCAGCTGACAGCAGCCTTGTGAGTCTCCGTAGGGCTGCGGCCGTCACCTATTCCTGGGGTGAGGATGTTAGTGACCACTGTGCCAAGCAGACAGGGACAGGGAGGTTTAAAACAGCCCGAAGCTTTGGCATTTCGGAAGTGGCAACCCAGCAGAGTGAACTCATCTTCCACTTAGCTATCTCAGGGTCCCCAGTGAGTCCAAAAATCTTCACTGAGGCTAACCCTCTGTTCCCAATGTCTTAATCTACTCTACACTAGTTCTTAAAGGATGTTCCCCAGGCCAGCACAGCAGCCCCAGGGAGCCTGCTGGAGGGGCAAATACCAGATGATCGAATCAGATTCTGGGGCTCAGAAATGTGTGCTTGACAAGCCCTCGAATGCAAGGTTGGGTAGACACTACCCACCAGCAGCCAAAATAGCATATATATCTGGAGGCAGAGGATTATTTGTTTAATTTTCTTGTGGTGCTGGGGACCTAATCTAGGCCTTACACATTCTAGGCAAGCGCTCCACCCCTGGACTCTGGGGAGGACCAGGAGCTGGAGCCAGTGTCAGAGGGGAAGCCTGGTTGAGGAGCTGCAATTGTGTTTTGCTATGGAACATTTGGACAAATTACGTGCTGTGGGGCAGGGGCTGGTGGTAGAGTCAGGAAGCCCAAGGACAGATAAAACCCAGGCAGGGGGTTCTGGGCAGCAGACCAACTCCATACTGCAATTGTGGTAGGAAGGAAGGGATGTGTGGGTGTAGACACTGGCAGCTGGAGGTTTGTAGCAGAAAAGCCCAGAGCTTGTTACATTCAAATGCAGCAATCTTTTTTTTTTTTTTCTTCTGGGGCTCTGTCCTGTTCACAAAATCAATGGCCAGAAACTACTGGTCTGGTTAGGGCTCCACCTATGTACATACAGTTCAGTATGTGTTCGTGCACATACACACACACACACGCACACACACACATGCAGACATGCAAACACACACACACAGACATGCACACACAGATACTCAGACACTCCCATACATGCTTACAGTCACACATTCATAAACATAAACTTTCATGTAATAGACAGACACACATATACACCCACAAGCACATACTCATACTCAGGGCACACTCGAATGGACTCACACACAATTGCAGACTCACAGAAACACACAAACACACCCTTACCATGCTCACATATATACACTCATACATTCACACACAGGCTTGCACACCCACAGAGGCACATTTACAGATATGAACCACCAATCCCTGTACCCCTCCCCATCTCCCAGTCTCTGAACTCATAACTCAGCCAACACTGGTACGTTTCCAGCTCCCTGAGGTGCTTAGGGAATCTATCTGGCCAACAGCTTACAGACTGTGGTTACCCCAGCCTTCCCATAGTCATGCCATTCATTTCTTCTGTTTGATGAGCAACTGCATGTTAGCAATGGTTTGCTAACTCTTGTTCTAGGTTCTTGCAACTCAAAGCAAGGTCTTTGGACCAGCTGGCACTGATGTCACCTCAGGACACCATCTGAGACCAACTGAATCAGAACTCACATTTCAGCCTAGTCTCCAGAGCTAGTGTAGACCCTGGATGAATTTTTGCCAGGGCAAGCAACCATCTGGGTTTGCCTAGGAGTGAGGGATTCCCAAGACCCTTGGGGTTTAATCTGGGGACATCGTCTGGGGAGGGTAAAGTGGAGCATGCACAGAATGGGATTCCTCTCACTGCTCACCCAGGGTGTTGGCGATGCCTGTCTTCACATTGTCGGTACAGATGTGGCTGATCCGGTTCTCATGCTCTGGCTTGGCCAATACAACGATGCGGATATTCCAGAGAGTGTGGATGGCAACCTGGCAGGAGGGATGAGATTGCAACACTGGGCTGAGGTATGGTGTTGGAACTCAGAGCACCCGAGAGCGATTCACTCCCATCCTTATCCTGGGGGTGAGACACCTTGTCTATAATCCCTGGCTTGGTGGGGGTGGGGGGGCTTCTAAAGAGCCCACTAATGAAGCAAAGCATCTCAGAGATGATACTTAGGGTGATGGATATTTCCCAGAAGTAAAGATTGGCCCTCCAAGCAGGAGTGGGGAAAGTGGGGACTCACTGACTTTTAGCAACAGCTCAAGGACCCCATCAACTTCTAAGTATGGTGCCTGGATGCATCTTTCTGGCTATGAAAGTGGGGGACCAATTAGCCCCTGGACATCTTTGGAAGTGGCCTGTCCTGACTCTTGAGACACCAAACAGAGCACATGTCTCCCGAATCTGGTCCCAGCCCACTGCTCACTGTTTTAAAGGTCATCCTGGTGACTTCTTGTAGAGAGTGCCTGAGCATCTCCAACCACTCCTTCTCTCCCAGGGGGTCCTCCTGGGTGCCAATCACATAGATGTCATGAGGGATGTAGTCAGCAGAGTCATCCCGCGTCTTTCCCTGCCCCTTGGAGAGAAACCAGGACGTGATCTTCTTGGGAGGGGGGGCGTTACCTTCAACAGCAAAACCCAATACCAAGTGAGTCAAAGGCATGTCAGATCAAGGGCATCAGGGGGATTCAAAATAGGGGAGGAGAGGATCACACAGTCACACAAACCACTGAGGCAAACACCCTGGGTGAAGAACTCAGTGCTGATATTGGGCAGATGTCAGCTGGGGTCAGAGCTCAGTGAGGTCTCTTTGTAAAGGTAACATTAGATTTCAAAAAAATGGAAACACTAGATCCCCTATGGAGCCCTGAACTAATTGAACAGGATGGCAAACATGTCCAAGGCTTTGGGGTGACAATAACATATCAAGCAGATATATTTAGGATGGAGGGTTCTATCCAACTGCCAGGAAACAACAAAAGGAAGAAAGAGATGCTCAGTGGAGAGCCAAGATGAACAGGTAATACTCAATGGAGAAACAGGAAGTGTGCAACGCTACTCCCTCAAGGAATGATGGGAGCTCTACTTGTGGAGATGCCTTAAGGATGAGTAACTGTCCTCATGCCTGAAAGAGATGCCCATTTCTGGTTCCAAAGAGCCAAGAAGCCAAGAATTGGGATAATGATCACTCCAAACTCTGCTCCCCTGGGGCTCCCAGGGAACCCAGAGCACTGGGGCTGGTGGATCACCACTTGCAGAGACCTTTCCACCTGGCCAGAGTGCAGCAAGGTTCCAGCTTGCTCCAGCCAGGTGTCTTCTGTGGGAAGGGCACCCCCTACCCTGTGCAATGAGACAGCCTCACCATGTCCAACCCGAAGAAGTGTCTACAGACAAGGAAGCAGAAAGGTCCCTGTACTGTATTATGACCCCTGAGGGAAAGAGCTGAGGCAGGGTAAGGGACTAATATAACCACTGAGTTTGAATTTCTGATGACAGGTGATTTTAGAATAAGTATGTCCATGCAATAGTTGTTGATCTGAGCTTCAGATGTAACTGGACATCTACTTCTAGCTGAATACTTATACCAAAACATTATTTAATATCATAGACAATTAGTATAATATACATATCTAGCATATCAAAATATACCAGTATATATAGTGTATAAACTTAGCCCAATGTATTTTGTATCTTAGTCTTTATTTCTAATATATTTATTTCTACTTATACTAAATAATTATTTATCATATTATATTTTTAGCAAGTGATATATGTTGTCATAAATTTATCATATATTTGCTTTTTATTTGCCTCTAGAAAAACATCTATACTAAAAAATTATATGCTATTTACATGTTATTTAAATTTAACATGGTACCATCTATCAATCTATCATCTATCTATCTTTCTATCATCTATCATCCATCAATCATCTACCTATCATCTATCATCTATCATCCATCCATCAATCATATGCCTATCTATCATCTATCAATCATCCATCTATCTATCTATCTATCTATCTATCTATCTATCTATCTATCAATCATCTATCTATCTATCTATCTATCATCTATCTATAATCAATCTATCTATTATCTATTATCTATCTATCTATCTATCATCTATTATCTATCTATCATCTATTTATCTATCATCATCTATCTACAACTATCTATCTATCATCTATCTATCTATTATCTATCATCCATCCATTATCTGTCTACCTTTCATCTACCTACCTACCTTCCTATCTATTCCTCCATCACCCATCCATCCATCCATTCATGTACTTTTCTCCCCTTTTCCCCACATTCTCTCTGGACAAACAGGGCTGGGTTTCATTCTTCCAGGGCTGGGACCCCTGGCAAGTAGCACAGTAATGTACTCTGGTTACTTTTGGGGTGCACTAGCCCTGGAGCTCATGTTCTTATTCATCATCTCATGAAGAGGTAGAATTCTTTAGAAAGGAGGTTGTACAGATGGACTGGAGATTAGGATGACGCAGGAGCAATGTGGGGGACATCCATTGCAGGAGCAGTGGCACATCCATCCTGTGCCATTGATGGATGCTGAGGCAGGAAGGCAGACACAAGGGGGGGTGACAGGAAGAAGGGGTCATGGGGACCCACCCATGTTCCAGGTGCCAATGAAGATGGTGATCATGTCTGGCTCCGGCTGCTCTGAGTGCTTGTTCTTCATCTGCTGCAGGAGCTGGCAGAAGCCTTCTCTCTTCTGGGGACAGAAGGACAGACACTGAGGAGGGCCTCCACCTCCCTGCACATTCGACTCTACAAAAGACTGGGTCAGTTTCAAAAACACTGAGGGGTCATATAGATAAATCAGGGAAGCTTGCAGAACAGCCACCTGGAGGGATGCATCCAAAGCCCTGGATGAGTGGCTTCTTGGACCCAGTCATTCCACTGTAAGGATGTGATTTGATGAGAAAAATCAGGAACTGTAGACATCCAACCACATCAGAGCACGGCAGCATGTCCATTCGTAGGGGATCCACGAATAACTGTATTGTGGACCCTCCATAAGCTAGAACTCCACTGAGTTCTAAAATTATGGTACAGAAGTACCTTACCCACAGACAGGTGGCCACGATACAGTGTTAGATATGAAAAGCTACTTGGGCAACAATGGTATGAACTGCGTCACTGCACTTTTGCCTTTTAGAAAACATGTAGCCTGGCATAGAGGTTCAAGCCTGCAGTTCCAACACTTGAGAGGTTGAGGTAAAAGGCTGCCATGGATTTGAAGCTAGCCTGTGCTATGTAGCCCTGTCTCAATAAGCCCAAATCCAGATCCCAAGACACAAGCATTTAGGTTATAGTTCAGAGTCAACTATTTTGTTTATCTGTATTTGCTACTTTTTCACCAATGAAAGTAAGTTAGTTGATGAAAGAAAATTAAAAGAAAGTAGTGCTGATGAGATTGCTCAGTGGGTAAAGGGCACTTGTTACCAAACCTGATGACCAGCGTTCTCTCTCCAGAACTCATACGGTAGATGGGGAGAACCAGCTCCTGTAAGTTGTCCTCTGGCCTCTATACATTCCCCCAAATAAATAAATGTAATAAAATTTTTGAAAAGAAAATGTAAAAATCTAAGTAAAAACAAGGGTATATTAAGAAAAGATCTCTCAATCCTTCTCACTTATTTTTCCTGAGTTCACATGAAGCTGGTGTCTCCCTCTCTCTGTTGTCACTAGGGTGGCTGACTTTAAATGAGAGCACACAAAAGTTCCCGCTGTGCCACATGAGGGCCCAGCCAGCCGTCTCGGGTGCACAAAGTCTGCAGTTTTATATGCTTCAGCATCATTAATGCAAATCTCACAAGTGCTCTTGCAAAGGGCCAGCTTGCCTTGACAATGATTTCTGTATTGAAACCTGTCTTTAGTTGGGGATAGCCAAAACTCAGTGACTCAACCCTCTGAGTTTGCAGCAATGGGGTAGAACTGGTTTTGAAACCTGTGTCCCCTAGGACAGAACACTGCCCAGTCAGGTGACATCTCTCCCTACTCCCACCGTCTGTCTGCACACACAGTGTCCACTGTTCCTGTCAGCCCGGGCCTGTCACTTTGCCCTGACATCCACTCCCAGGACAGGCACTTTGGCACTTGGTGGGGTTGTCTCTATCACCTTGCACCGGGAGCCCCAGTGCTGGCCACACAAGCCAGGATGGGTGCCTTCCTGCTCATCCACCCATTTTCACCGCCTCACATGAGCTGTGAGGAGGAGAGTGAACAAGCCCTCCATGTGGCATTCAACTCATCAGGGGAATTTCTGAGGTGAGTCGTCAGGGATGGAGAACCCGCCTCTAGCTGTGCAGAGGCCCACCCAGGGGTTTTCCTGGGGTCCACAGTGCCTCTTCCTCTGGTAGCCAGTCCTGGCCGGGGCATCTCACTTCTGCAGAGTGAAGGAAAGTGTAGAAACAAGTCTTCCTAAGGGCCTGGTCAGGACTCAAGATTTAAATCCAGGGCTGATCCAAAGGGCTCCCAAATCCAGTCAAGAGGAGCTGTTAATAAAAGCTTCCTGGCCAGGCACAGCACTGGGCATGCGGCACAGGTGATAAAGACACCTTCTGTCAGCCGGAGGCAGTGTATCAAGGAGGGAAGGCAGAACTGATCCCAGGACAGTGGAACGGGAAATGTGCAAATCCCAGCCGGCTTAGAACCTGATCCTTAACCACAGCATCCCTGGTATAAAGGGGTGCTCTGGAACCGAGGGAGCTAGTGACTGCATTCCCTGACACAACCACAGTCCTTAGGACCTTCTTGCCCCATCTTAGACATCTGTCATCACTTACTTTGGAGTCAGCAAACACATACTCCTTCCTCAGGATCTTCTCCTTCTCTGTCTCCACCAAAATCACCAACTTGTTCAGAAACTTCTGTGACTTGATGAGCTGCAGGACTTAAGAAAAATGAAGTTCATTGCTTTGTTCACTTGTCTCTGCTCTGGAGGGTTTTTCTGCTTGTCCTTTGAACCCAGTGTTGTAGGACCTCCCCCTTGGGATATGCCTCCTCCACTGTGCCGAGCACTAGGAACCTTTGCGACCTGAAACATGTATTGTTCGGTGAGGTGCTTTTCTGAATTCTTTGAAAATTTTCCCCTTTCCCTCATTTCTCTTATAGTAACACATTATTGGTATGAACTTTCTAGGCTGGTATGCCAACACAAGAACATGCTGGGCGTGTTGTGCATGCCTGAGTCTCAGCACTCAGTAGACTGAGGTAGGCAGGAAGATCACCATCAGACCAAGAATGAGGTCCTGCCTCAAAAAACAAAAACCAAGACAAATTTCACCTCTTATTTTCTATCAATTTGCCTGTCTGTCCTACCTTCTGAAATCTTCCCTCAAGTACCATGCTTTCATTGTACTTTTTACAGTACTGAGGATCAAATTTAGGGCCCCACACATGACAGCTTTGGAGCTGTATCTCTAGCCCTTTACATTTTTCAATTTTTACAATTGATTTATGTATATTTATTTGGGGGCTTTTGTTATAAGGTCACATGTGGCTGAGGCTGGACTTCCCCTCTGGCCTCTGACCCTCCCAGAACTGTCCTTCTTCCTCTTTTTTCCCATTTCTGTTCATTTTTATTTTGCTCTGTGGCTGTTCCCTCTATAGAGAGTACCTGTTCTTTTTTTAAATATTTTTTATTATTTTAATTGTGTGTGTCTGTGTGTATGTGTGTTTGTGTGGTTAGGTGCACATGGATACAGGTTCCCACAGAGGTCAGAGGCCTTGGATTACCCTGGAGCTGAAGTTACAGTTGGTCGGGAGCCGCCTGACAGACATGGATGCTGGGATCTGAACTCTGGTCCTCTGTAAGAGCAGAATGTGCTCTTAACTGCTTAGCCAAGTGTAGCTCCGGCCCAAGTACTCTCTTGTACTACTATCTTGTAGTCCAATTTTCCTTCATCTATATACTCCTTCGATGCATTGTCTTTTTATTCATTTTTTTTCTTGGTGTCCCACTGTCCCTCCACTGCTGCAAGCTCAGAAAAATACTGTGAGGTAAACTGAGACACTGAATTTTGAGCCATCTCTAACTAGACAGGCTTCAGTAAAGAGCCATCATCACATCACTGTGAGCTGATGCCTGCAGAGGGGACGAGATTTGCAATTATGAGGTTGAATCATGAAATTGCTGGCTTTGTACGTTTGAAGCAGTCAACACTGGTCCTTTCATATGACCCAGCAGATACTTGGTGCTCCCTCATTTAAAGCCACTGTGCCCTCTACTGACTACAGTCTAAGAGAGGAGTGGGTGTGTTTCATGTTCTATTGGGACCCAGGAACAAGTAATCGAAAGGTATGAAGGAGGTAGTCTTTAGTGATCCTTTCTTCTTTCTCTTTTTTTTGTCTTTTTGAGACAGGGTCTCCCTGTAGCCCCAGCTGTCCTGGAACTCACTATGTAGACCAGGCTGGCCTTGAACTCACAGAGATCCACCTGCCTCTGCCTCCCGAGGGCTGGGATTAGAGGCGTGCGCCTTCAATTCACTTCAAATTTTCCTGTATTACAAATAAACAATCTATAACTCATTGGTTTTTAAAATATTGAAAATATAAACAAGTAAAAGTTCAAAATAGGCCAGGCATTGTGGTGCATGCCTTTAATCCCAGCACTTGAGAGGCAGAGGCAGGCAGATCTCTAGGAGTTCGAGGCCAGCCTGGTCTACATAATGAGTACTTGCTACTCATCTAGAGGATCCAAGTTTGGTTCTCAGCACCCATATGAAACAACTCACAGCCACTTGTAACTCCAGCTCCAGGGGAACCCAATGCCCTCTTTTGGACTCTGTGGGCAATGTACTTATGTATACACACGCAAACAGACACCCACAGACACATAAATATAAATTTTAAGAGATGAAAGTACAAGCTGAGCATCATGCAATCTCAGCATTCAGAAGCTGAAGCATGAGGGTGGTGATTTGAAGCCACCCTGGGCTACATAGTGAGACCCTGTCTGAAATAAATAAATGAATAAGTTGGGGCTCTACAGATGGCTCAGTGGTTGAAGAACTGACTGCTCTTGCAGAGGACCTGGATTCAATTCCCAGCACCCAGATGGTGCTAACAACTGTTTGTAACTCCAGTTCCAGGGGATCTGATGCCCTTTTCTGGCCTCCACCAGCAATGCACAACACAGGTACAGTTATATACATGCAGGCGATACACTCATAGATATAAAAAGAAAAAAGAAAATTAAAAGCAAAATGAACAAGTTAATTATTAAGAGAAAAGTACAAGGATCCATTCCTACATTTTTGACAAGTAGATTTTCATATTAGTAGGATATTTTGGCCACCTCTCCTTGTTGATAAAGTACTTCTGCACCATAATCTAAAGTCTATAGGGTAGTCAGACCTTGTAGAGCATGCCTGTGATCCCAGGCAGGTAGGAGAACTGCCAGTTCAAGGCTAGGCTGGGCTACATAGTAAGAGGCCAACATGGATGACATAGAAAAGCCTTGACATGAACAAAACAAAGCAAAACAACAACAAAACACAAGCAGATCAACCTACGGCATTCTAGCTTAGGGATGGCTCACAGTACAGTTACTCATGAAGACATGAAGGTGGTCCATGGTTGTCTGTGCTCCAACAGTGACAGGAGGGTCTGCCCAGGGCTTCCAGTCTGATTTACAGGAAAATATTTGATGGCAAAAGCTTTCTAGCTTGGCCCCTCCACTGGTCAAGTTTCCCAGAGAAGACTCTTCCAACTTCCTGTGTTGGGGACAGGCAACCTGAGTGAAGACCTGGGTCTGATCTCTAGTACCACATAAGCTGGGCTTGGCAACATGTACCTACAATCCCAGCACTGAGGATTACTCACTACCCGCCTGCCTCAGTCTCTTGAGTAGCAGGATTAAAGATGTGTATCACAATGCCCAACTTGCACTATTATTATTATTATTATTATTATTATTATTATTATTATTTTGTCTTTTTGAGACAGGGCCTCCCTGTAGCCCCAGCTGGCCTGGAACTCACTATGTAGATCAGGATGGCCTTGAACTCACAGAGATCCGCCTGCCTCTGCCTCCCGAGTGCTGGAATTAAAGGCATGCGCCACCACGCCTGGCTGTATTTTTGCTTTTAAAAAACCAACAGGTGCATAACATGCACATTGCATTCACATATGTGCAGGCAATACACTCATACATATAAAATAAAAATAATAAATAAAAAATATTTTTAAAAAACCCCAATGCGCCATATATTACTTATGTAGTGCAATTACACAGGTAGAGGAAGGAGGATCAGGAATTCAGGACCAGCCTTGACTACACAGTGAGCTCAAAGCTAGCTTGGACTACACAAGACCCTGCTTCAAAACAAAAACAAAACAGACAAAAAACAAACTTGGAAAAACAGAATATAACAAAACGATCACAGAAGGGGAGCTGAGCCAACCAGGGGACAGGAGTGAGGTGAGTATGCGCCACACGCTTGGGCTGTCAGGCTCTGGGCATCAGTGATTTTTTTCTCTTTCTTTCTCTCTCTCTCTCTCTCTCTCTTTCCTTCTTTCATTTTATTATATATATTTTTATTTATTTACTTAAAGAAAAGTATATGAGTATTTTGCCTGCATATATATAAGTGCACCATGTATGTACAATGCCCGTGGAGGCCAGGAGAAGGTGTCAGGTCCCCTGGAACTGGAGTTAGGAACTGTTGTTAGCTGTCATGTGGGTGCTGGGAACTGAACCCGGCTCCAGTTCAGTTCCCGCCAGTGCTTTTAAGTACTGAGTCATCTCTCTAGCGCACCCCTCCCCACCTTTTTTCTTTAAAAAGTATCTTTTCCCCTTTTAGTTTTTAAATTGATGAAGAAAACTACATACCATGTAAATAGCATGGAATGGTACATCTAGTGAATTAGGCACATGAAGTCCCACTGCTCTCAGCACTTCTCAGTGTGTCCTAGTTAGCTGTCCTTGGTGACCCGGCTGTGCACTGCGTTCTTGACCTACTCTCCCCACATAAGTGGCATGCACTTTTCTAAACTAACCATTTCCGGCACAGCCTTCCTGCTCAGACTGTCAGTCACTTCCCATCTAGACACAGTAAGGCGAAGCCCTGTGTCTGGTGCTATGAGCTCAACTCTGTAGAAACTGGCAGCTTGTTACCCCAGGGTCTAAAGGCTTTCTTTTCTGATACATGTCCCCACCCCTGTTCCATCTGCCCTCACAGTAACAGTGGGGGGATAATTATAATAGTGACACCAATGGCAGTAGCCAATTGCACCGAGCACCTCCTGGATGCCAGGCACCAAGTGTTTTGACAGTCACCTTTCAAAGCCTTGTAGCAACTGTGTAGGATACAGCTGAGTTCTAGAAAGAGGATCCTGGCCCAGGTCACAAGCGGCTGAGTTAGGGCTCATGTCTGAGTTTCTGGTATCCTACTGTGCCATTTACTGAAGGGACTCAGGATCCACTATCCCAAAATATGGCACCATGACAGAAGGAGTATTTTCCTTGAAGGAATTTGAAAAATACAGGGTAGGGGTACAGGTGATAAGATGTATCGTTATATGACAAGTCCCCTCCCCATTCCTGGAGGGAAGAACATCTTATCTCCACGGACAAACAGATCTGAGAGGAATCTGAACATCAGCCCTGGCCAAACTCCTCCTAGCACCTTAAACTTACAAAGTCCCTTTGTGCCGTCGGTGTCCACTCTTCCCAGACCTAGCCTGCGACACTCTGCCCCGCCATCCTCCTGGCCCTCATTTTCTGGCAAGGGCTCCCATGTCACATGCAACTTACACTCGATGAATCTATTCACTTTTCTCTTGGTCATCTGTGCTGGCTTCTGCCAAGAACTCCAGATGGTGGAAGGAAGAGACACTGTCCACCCCTGCACTATTTGAGGCCTGCCCCTGGCTGCACCCTACTTCCTGCACGGTGTTGATCCCCACCCTGACTCAGGGCCAGAACCCAGGAAGGGATCAGCAGAGGAGCCCTCCCTGGCCCCTCTCTGGACACCCTCAGGGCAGTACGGGACACAAAAGTTGCTCTCGAAAGCAGGTGCTCATGGGTCCTCATGCAATTTCCATGAGATGTCCATTGTTACCATGTTCATTTTACAGACAAAGAATAGAGGCACAAAGAGGCTAAGTCACTAGGCCAGTGTGATACAGCCAGCAGGTGGCAGAGCCTGGATTTGAAACTGGGCAGTCAAGCCCCATATTCTGGGGATGAACATTTACTTACTGTGACTGCAGGACCACTGTGGTACCAACTCAACAGCACTAAGCTTGTAAGTTCTTGCTTGGAATTTTCCAAAGTGTTCCCATGAGATAACATCAAACCTTGTTAACTTTCTCAAGAGGCTAAGTCATCCAACACTACTGTTGCCCTCCAGTGCTGTCCCCATGGCCCATTTCTGCTTTTCTTCAAGGCCCTGCCATACTACCTCACAATGTTTACACATGCTGTACTCCTGGCTGGAATACTCTTCCCTTAGATCCCTTTTGGACTGGTTGTTTCCCAACCAGGGGACTCAGTTCACATACCTCCTGCTTAAAAGGGCAATCCTTCCCTTCCTGAGCCCCTAAACCACTCCATCTTCCCAAAGGACTCCTACCCATCATGCTGTTCTGTTTTCCTTGAAGTTTCGGGACAGCTGAAGCTGTTGCATTAATAGATTTATCTGAGTATTTAGTCACTGATCAATGCATCAGAATAAAAATCCCTCACGAGTTGGGAAAATATAGGTCCTGCTTGCTTCCCTGGATGCTGAGACTACCCACAGCGGCTTCTCCACCAGCCTGTGTCAAGGCGATCGCCCCCACTATGTGCATGAAGATTGGATGTGCAGAAACAGAGCTGCAGCGGCTCAGCGTCCAGAACAGCTGGTGGCAGGTTACATCCCATGTCATTCACTCACTCTTTCTAATCCCTGAGAAGTGGAAACTGAGGCTGGGAGAGGTAGGCCAAGGGCCCCCAACTGCCAAGTGGCAGAGCTGGGATGTGAATTTGGCCTTTCAGTTCCCAGAGTTCACAGTGCCACCCAGCCAATGCTAAAGATGCCGCCCAGTAGCTCAGCCAGCCACACTATCAGTACAGGGCCTGTCCCAGCATGGTAAGGTGACAGAGTGGCTCAGACTGGCTGCTTGTAGGAAGAGAAGACACATCACACAAGGGGACACAGAATCACTATGTACAGACAGGAATGCCACTGGGGCAGTTGTGATGTGACTTATAAGCTCATTCCCAGGGACTGGAGGGAGGGAGCATACAGGGGAGGCTCATGGGAGGTATCCTTATGCATGAATTCCACAGGCAGAGTGAGGCATGGTGGGCACCTAGGACAGGGGCCACTGCCTAGAGGGCCTGGCTCTTGCTGGCAGTCTGATATTGACCGCACACCTATTTACTGGTAATTCATAAGAGCTCCATTTGGTAGGGGGCTTACTTTTCTTGTGGCTGTAGAACTTGTCCTCAGAACCATCCTTGGACTTCTTAATGATCAGTTTCCCAGATTCAACATCCACTTTGAGCTGCATTTTCTGAGGAATCCCGAGGGATTCTGACTTCACCTTCAAAGAGCAAGGGATGCAGTTCAGTGGTTTTCTGGCTTATCTTTGGTGATGCCAACCTTGAGAGCTTTGTCTACATGGTTGGGGAACCCTGGACCAGCATCTGTGTGAGAACACCAGGCTGCAGTCTCCCAACCTCCCTCACCCTGGCTTCACACGTGTACATTCCACAGTACCCAAGAATGGCTCACACTGGAGCTGAGCCCAGCTCAGCCATCGTGCAGCCCAGCTGTTCCGCCAACAGGTTTAGTGGAGGAAACAGACAAGCTGTTGGGAAATGTTTCCTTCACTGATTAGTTTGACAACACTCATTAATCTGATGTGTCATCTACTTCTGGAAAGAATCTTAGTAATAGATTTACACTCTGGGGCCTTGTTACAACCACTAATTGAACATTTACTGATAATAAGTAGGATAAAGACACTTGCTTAGGCTTATTCAGAAAATGAAAATCCAAGCTTCGTGTGACGGTGCACTTGGGAGGTGGAGACAGGTGGGCAGCCTGGGTTACAAGAGACTTTCTCAAAAATACATGGGGGATGGATGAGGCATAGGGGTGAAATGACTAGGCCTGCCATCAAGCCTAGTGACCTGAAATTCAATCCTTGGGATCCACGTAGTGGAAGGAGAAAACCAACTCTTCTAAGTTGTCCTCTGACCTCCACATGTCTGCCATGGATGGCATGTATATATCTACACACACACACACACACACACATACACACACACACATGTGCACGCACGCGTGCGCACATGCACACATACCCGCACACATGCACACGCACGCGTGCGCACATGCACACATACCCGCACACATGCACACACACTAAATAAATACATAAATGCGAATTTTAAAAATGGAGGTAGGGAGAGAAAATAGAAATGTGTCTTTTGCAGGATAATTTTCATGACTGGAGAGGGCTTTGGGGTGGTCAGTACGGTGTTTCATGAAAGCGTGGCCAGACTGGGCTGGAAGGGCCAGAATTGTAGGGATTCACTAAAAAATCCAACACATTTCCAAGTGTAAACTTAGAGATTTTAATCTAGTCGTTCTCAAAGGAATCACAGGGATGTCGTTTTCTGTAGCGGTCCCCTACCCTGAGACTTTATAGCCAGTTTGATGTCACACATCACTCCCACTTTAGAAGGACAAAGTCTGTAACATCTTGAATCAACAAGAAGTCCCCTTGCAGCCCCCCATGGAGGGGATGTCACACAGAAGCACCTAGGCACCAATTTTAACGTTTACCCACTTCCCAACTGGGTGGCTTCACCAACCACTATTTTCTGCTGTTAGGTTCCTTCCTCAACTATAGCCCAGTTTTTTTTTTTTTTAAAAGCCCCCTTTTCATAGGAAATGCAAAGACACCCCCAACAAGGGAGGGTCTCCAAGCCAGGCTCCACTGCCCCAGAGCCACTTACCTCAAAGGTGACAGGGGGGATGAGGGAACGCCGGTGGGGAGACTCGGAGCCTTCATGCAGCAAGGCTTTGACCTGTGGGCAGCGGTGGTGAGACAGAGCGTGAAAGGGATGCAGAACAACCTGGCCCTTCTCAGTGCAAAGAGGGGACCACAGAGAAACCAGGAGGGAACGCAGGACCCTTGCAAGTACCTTATCTTCAATGGAAGACAGTAGACTTGTCAGTTGGCTGAGCTTGGCTACCATGTTGATGGGATTGGGCTCACCGGGCACCTGGGAGATGAAGATGAGAACAAACGAGGTCAGCTCGGGCTGAGGGTGAGTCATGGGGGTGGCACTGAGGGCTTCCCATGCTGCTCCTCTTTCTGTCTTCCACCTCCCCCTCTAAGTACCATTTTTACCCTTCTCTGTAGATGAGGACTCTGGGCATATATAAGTACCTCAAAATCCTCATGGCCAAAAAAAAAAAAGGCCTTCACTTCTCTCCGAGTCTGCATCACCCACAGTGCTTCTCACCGCCCCCACTCAGTCACTTAAAACTCTAGGGCCATCCTCAATCACCACCCTCTCACTCTCCTACATCTACTGCACTGGTGTTCCTGTTCTACTTCCAAATATACCTGTACCCACTGCTTAAAACCCTCACTGGCTGCTTCCCACATCAGGGAGGACAGTGTCTGAGCTCCAGACCCTGTCTCTAAAGTCACTGTAAACTGGGATGCCCCACATTGAGCCACTTTCAGACTTTCTTCTGATCTGCTTTGACCTACATATGCCAAGGAATATCCAGAGACTTGGATTTCACCTGGGAAGGTCATCTTGCCATCTAGATCTCAGATCCACCAAGAGTTCCTCCCTGACCACTGTAACTCAAACAGTTACTCAGTCATCTCTATCAAATCACCCCATAGTGTTCTGTACCATGAACCAAGGTTGTTGCTTTCATTTGTGATGTCACTGTATGTTTTCCCTACTAGAACATGGGGTTCATGAGAATTGAGTTCAGTATTGCAACACTGGTGCTTGGGACAATGTCTGACCAGTAAAGACTTGTTCAGTGACCACAGGGGCCCAGGGAGCTGTAGTTACTCATCCAAAGTTAAATAGCTAATAAATGGCAGGACAGGACTGGCATCCTTGTATTCTGGGCACCAACTCCAAGCATTTATTTGCAGAATAAACATTTATAAGGCTCAGTAGTAGTGAGCTTGCCTAGTGTGAATGAGGTCCCGAATTCAAGCCCAAGCCCTATACATGAAAAACCAAAACAAAGATAAATTATAAAATATCTATTCCAGACATGCTGCATTGATGGAGGGGTAGCATTAACAAGGGACCGTTTCTTCCTACAGAAGCAGGATGAGGAGACCAGACACGTGTGCAACTAAGTTGAATACCAAGTAGAACAGAAAGAGATTTACCTCATGCTAGCTCTTCAGTACAGCCCTTGGTCACAGTATCAGCCATGGTACAACTCCTATGGGTTTGTTTGCTGGTATGTTTTGTTTTCTGTTTGTCTGAGATAGGGTCTGTAGATGTAACCCAGGTCTGTGCTAACAAGTCTTGCTTTAGTGGCACAGGGTCTCTGTGTAGCCCCAGCTGGCCTGGAATGCACTATGTAGACCAGGCTGGCCTTGAACTCACAGAGATCTGCCGGCCTCTGCTTCCCAAGTGCTGGAACTACAGGCGTGCGCCACCACACCCAGCCACTTTAGCTATACTTTTAAAGTGGCTTGGCACTTCCAAGGAAAGTTAAGGGACTCTCCTTTCCCACAGGGGCTGGTCAAGGGCTCTCCCTAGCCCCCAGACCAGCAACTGTTTTGACTTTTGTACTTTGCACCTCCCCAGCAGTGTTCCGCTGCCTCCCTAAGGGAAAGGGCCCTGCGTTGGCAAGAGTCAGTGCCCTGTCAGGTACCAGACAAACTGGACATTCATGCCCCTTTCCCAACTGTCTGGGTAGGACATCACTATTCCCACGGCCCAGATGAAGGAACAGCAGGCCAGTAGGATGAGACCCTGAACTCAGGTGTGAGGGCCGGTCTTCTTTCCTCAACTCCCTGCCTCAGGTCACTGCCCTGCACTTTGAAATCTGAGGGCCCATCAAGACAGACATTCTTGGGGCTGGAGAGATGGCTCAGTGGTTAAGAATGCTTTCTGTTCTTGAGGACCTGAGTTCCTAACCACATTGGGCGGCTTATAACTGCCTGTAACTCTAGCTCCAGGGGATCCAACACTTTCTTCTGGCCTTTGCAGTCATCCGCACACATACACATACTTAAAAATAAAAACACAATTTTAAAAGGACATTTTCTGCATTTCTTCCAGACCTATGATCTCCTGGGTGGTGGCAAGCGGCATCATTCTCCGCCAGGTCTGTTAGCCTTCCTCACTCTGTCCTGCCTCCAAATGCAAATGCTGTCCTCTGTCCTTGGGCCCCCATCAGGCCACCCCAGGCCCATCTCTGCAGGCCCGGTCTCTCTCTGTATCTACTTCAAAGATTTGAAGGTGTGCTCTTTCATTCAAGCTATATTCTGGTGTCTGGCAGAGCCTGTTTTGTTTAGATTTACTTTTACTTTCTTAGAAATTAACCTATCATTCACTTCACAGGAAGAAAAATAAAAACACTTTTCCCCCTGATGAATCTTTTCATTTATAAATAGAACACCAATACATTTTCTCTGTTAAAAAAAATCTGTGGAAAACCAAAATAGGCCGCCTCAAAATATTCTTCTTTGGCATATTTCGAAATGGCTATTCAAAGAAACTGAAGACCAGAACAGCTCTGAAAGCTGTCCTTTTGTAAAAAGAGGTTTTTAGACATCTCCGTTGGTAAGGCCACTGGTGATGGTGCAGAGGGTCCTTGCTCTGATCCATCTTCTTGTCTGGCACTAGGGATGGTGATGCCACAGGACATTTGGTACAGAAAGATGTTGATATGGCTCTTTACCTATTCTTTTCTTTTTCTTTTTCCCCCCTTGGGTTTGAGGAGTCTTGCTATGTTGCTAACCTAGAATGTATGGGCTCAAGTAATCCTCCTGCCTCAGCCATCGGAGTACCTGGGACTCCAAAGCAGGTACTTCCTTGCCCAGCTCACCTATTCTGCTCCAGAGAACCTTTCTTCCTGGGTTGACTTATTCCACCATCTTCTGGGCTGCATGGCCACTCCCCCGCCTCCAGCATGCCAGACTCTAAGCCCCCATCTATTCTTTTTCTTCTAGCCTCAGGGTGTTTTAAAAGCTTCCATAATGGGGGCCTCTCTGAGTGTCCCTGTTTATGTGTGTGATCTACCATCAGCTCGTTTCAGAGACCAAAGTATCGAACCTTCAGAGGGTACGGAAAACTTAAACACCCCTATGACTTAAGCCCCTTGGTTGACCCGTTTTCCCCATCCCGCTGGCTCCATTGCAGTTGTTCACCTGCACCTTCCATTCCCACACTCCTCTGTAGTGGGCTCTCTCCACACAGTAAGTAAGTGTGGTGCAAGGGCATTCCACAAGGGCACCTGCACCACGGATGGAATTCTGCACCTTGCTTTATTGCACTGTGCTCTGTGTCTTTCCATGTTCACTGGAATTCCTGTCTTCACTTTCAGAGACAAAGTATCAATGCATATCCTTGTTGGTACTCTCAGTGCCCAGGTAGTCTCTAAGACACCCCTCTTACAGGGGATTGCTTGAAGGGCACAGGCAATTAACATCTCACAGTCCATCCACCCTTCAGAAGCCCATTTCCACTCCACAGCAGAGAAGCAAGTGCCGCTGCTACCCACCACACGGGTGGGGTCCAAATAGAACAGCCACCAGTAGCAGTCAATGTTCTGTCTATCTGGTAAGCAAGCAGAGGTCTCCAGTGTTTCCTGGTTACTGATCAGGGGAGGCTGAATGTTTTCCCTTCTATATGCTGCCTATTCCCTGTCAGCTGGCATTGAACAGCCTTGTTTATAGCCTTTCCCCCACGTAAAGAGCAGGGCTAAGGGGCTGGGGAGAAGGCTCAGCTGATAAAGTGCCTGCCAAGCAGGTATGGGAACCTGAGTTCGGTCCTCAGCACCCAGGTGAAAGCTGGGCTTGGTGGCAGACATCTGTAACCCCAGCATGGTGGGTGAGGGAGGAGGGGCTGGAACCCTGGAGCTCATTGGCCAGTCAGCCTAATTGACTCTCAGTGAGTTCCAAGCTCAGTGAGAGGCTCCATCACAGAAAATAAGGTAGGGAGAGTGCCAGCGAGATGGCTTAGCAGGTAAAGGTGCTTCCTGCCAAGCCTGACAATGAGTTCTATCCCTGGGAACCACATGGTAGAAAGAGAGAACCGATTCCTGCAAGTTGTCCTTTGACTTCCACAAGAGTACTGTGGGAACAAGCACACACACACACACACACACACACACACACACACACACACACGAATAGGGTTAAGCCAGGTGTACTGTACAGTACATGCATGTAATCCTAGCACTTTAAAGAGGCTAAGGCAGGGAATCATGAATTTGAGACCAACCTGGGCTATGCAATGACATGCTCCAAAAAACAAAGCTATCCATATATATATATATAAATAGGTTTAATTTTATTTATTTGTTGGAGTTTTTGTTTATTTGTTTACTTATTTATTTATTGGTTTTTTGAGACAGGGTCTCCCTGTAGCCCAGCAGGCCTGGAGCTCACTATGTAGACCAGGCTAGCATTGATCTCACAGAAATCTGCCTGTTTCTGTCTCCCAAGTGCTGAGATTAAAAGTGTGTACCACCACACCTGGCAATTTGTTGGAGTTAAAAAAAATACTATTAATCCACTGTCTCTGATATTCCTGAAAGTGATATTTTCTTTGGAGATACTGCTTTCTCTGACCCCCTCTTCTTCAGTGTTGGCTAGACAATGCTCTGTTGTTTTATGTTTTACTTTTGGTATAACGCTACCATACAAAAAGCTGGGTCCAGGCCCTGCTTGTGTGTTACCCTTACTGAGACACTTTAAAAAAAAAAAAAAAATATATATATATATATATCTGTATATATCTGTTTAATTTGACCCTAGGCTCCTGCTCGGCTAAGAGCAAGCGTGGGGGAGGGGCGCCGCCATTTTGCTGCTCTTGGAGTTAAATGTACGAACTTTGGGACATCATATTTTTCGGCCTCAGACACCTCTGAAATGGTGGGACGAGGCCCTGCATGCTTCTTTACTGAATGCTACATAAGCAGTGTTTCTGATGGGTGCATAATCTGAAATCCTCATTTCTTAAATCATAAAGTGCTAGTAGGAAATTTCTTTTTGGAAGGGCAGGGTGCTGAGGAATGCCCCATCCCTACCCCTTTGGACGTGCTAGACTAGCAAGCATGGGCAGGCGGTGCCTCCATCGCCTTTTGAGCTCCTTGGCATGCCAGCTAACTCATCTCTTTTTCTTGGCGTATTAACTGCATCTTTCCAGTCCCAAACCCCTTACCTGAGGGCGTGGACGAAGGCCAGGAGAGAGCTGCTGGTCAAACAACCTCTGCAGAGACTCCAGGGACAGGAGGGTCCGGACTACTTCACTGAGGGACAAGGTAAAGATGAAGAATTAGAGGGGACAGGACGCACTCAGGGCAGCACAGGCCCTAGCTAAAGACTCTACACTGTCACACCTTGACTAGCAAATCAGATAATCCTTGCCAGAAGGACAAGCCCGGGCAAAGATCAACCAGCCTGTCAGCCCGGCCCACCCACTCAGACCCCCACCCTTTTCTGTCCATAGCAGGCTGGAGTGCGGTAGGTAGAGCTGAATCTAATGTGGCTTTGGCTTACCCACATAACACTACGTAGTCTGGAGGAAATTCAAATCGGGAAACACAAAACTACTTTGAATAGTAGAAATCCATCTTTCCTAACATTTAGTTTTTGCAGGAATTACACACACACACACACACACACACACACACGCATACACATATATACACACATACACATCTTGTTAAAAATGTAAATGCTTGAGTTCCAACCTGATTTGGTCTGGAAATGACATTTATTTATATGTGTGGTATCTGTACATGTATGTGTGCTGCTTGTGTGTGAACATGTGGGAGGCATGTGTATGTGTGTGCATATGCATGTGAAACCTGAGGTTTACTCGCCACCTTATTTATTGAGATAGGGTCTCAAACTCAGAGCTGGTCAGTTCAACTGGTCTAACCAGCCAACTTGCTCTTGGGATTACATGTCTCCAGAGATGCCACGTCTCTGTCTCTGGCATGTTGGGATTACAGGTGAGCCACTACACACATCCTGCTATTATGTCGGTGCTGGGGATGCCAGCTCTGCTCCTTACACTTGGCTGTAAGAGTTTTACCTCTGAGGCACCTCCCCAGATTCTAGGAAAACACATTTTTAAAATTATTTATTTTATTTTTCTATTTTATGTGTATGTGTGTTTTGCCTGCATGCATGTGTCATGCAATGCCTGTAGAGGCCAGAAAAGCTGCGTCAGATCCCCTGGAACTGGAATTATGAACAGCTTGTTGTCTGCCTTGTGGGTGCTGGAAATCAAACCTGGGTCCTCTGCAAGAGCAGCCAGTGCTCTTAACTGGTAAGCCATCTCTCTAGCCCCATGGTGGAAAATCTTAAGCTACATTTTTAACTTATTATTTTATCTAAAACTGTCCATATTTTTACATGTTTAACATTCTAATTGGGGGCTAGAGAGATGACTCAGCAGTTAAGAGCATGTCCTGCTTTTCCAGAGAACCCGAGTTCCATAACCCACATTGAACAGCTCATAACTCAGCTCCAGAGGGATCTGACAACCCCCTCTGGCCTCCAGGAGCACCCACACATACATGCATACATTCATGCTCTTTCTCTCTCATATACATAAATAAAAAATAAAAAACAAACTTTAAACAACAGCAACAACACACACACACACACACACACACACACACACACACACACACACACACTCTCTAAACAGTTTGCCAAGTAACTGAGTTCAAATCGATTGCTAGATATTTGGGTTACTTTGAGGTCTTTGCTATTATAAATAAAGACTGGTCTGAACAGCTTTGTTCAGACAGCTCTGCTTTTCTTATTTCCAAAGGCAAATTAGAAGAACCAGGAATTATGACTTTATGTCACTGTTGCCAAACCTTGAGTGACAGCACCAATGACTGGCCTATCAGCCCTATTCAGACAGGCTGGCCCAAAGTCTTGTCTGCCTCCTAAATTGCTTTTACTGCTTCTCTGTGTCCTCCGTCCCTCCGTCCCTCTGTCCCCCCTCCCCGTTCCCCCGTCCGTCTGTCTGTCCGTCCGTCCCTCCCTCCCTCCCTCCCTCCTTCCTTCCTCCTTTCCTGGTCTCAGATATCTCAGGCTGGCCTTATGCTAACTGGAGGATGATCCTGAATTTCTGTTCTTCCTGCCTGCACTTCCCAAGTCCTGAGATTATAGGTGTGCACCACCACAGCTGGTGTCTGTGGACTGAACATAGATAGGCCTTTATGCATGCTAGGCATGTATTGTACCACTGAACCAGCCCTAGTGTTTCTCTCTCTCTCTCTCTCTCTGGTATTTTTGAGACAGGGTCTCCCTGAAGCCCCAGCTGTGCTGGAACTCACTATGTAGACCAAGCTGGCCTTGAACTCACAGAGATCCTGCCTCTGCCTCCCGAGTGCTGGGACTTCAGGCCTGCGGCACCACGCCCAGCAGGCGTTTTCTATTTTTAGTGTGCCTAATAACATTGTACTTTATTACTGATGAATACAGCACACCTAGAGCCCTGAATGGACTTGTATATTAATGTTTAATGCCTTTAAGTGTTTTTATTTTTTTGTGGTTGGTTTCTGATTGATTTCTCTTTGAGTAAACTTTGTATCTCCTTCAACAACTTTCTGTTGGGAATTTTGACATTTTTAGTGTTGCTATGAACTCATTACTCTGATTTTTATTTAACCTAGGTGTTGTGCTTTTTCGCATTATTACACTATTTTCATTCTAGATGGATTAGACACCATTATAAAGTAATTTGTATATTTTTATTTCTCTCTCATCTTTTCCCCAGTTGTTTTCTGCCCAGTGTAGTCAGAAATGTAGTGTTAGTATTTATTCAGGAGAAATTATTTGATCATTAAAATTTTTCCTTTGTGTATGCATATGTGTGAGTAGTGTATATGTATATGGTCTATGCACATGTGTGTGCAGGTGCACTCATACATGTACAAGGAGGCCAGAGGAGGATGTCAGGTGCCCTGCTCTCCATTGTCTGCCTTATTTCCTTGAGACACGGTCTCTCTCTCTCTCTCTCTCTCTCTCTCTCTCTCTCTCTCGTTGAACTTCGATCTAGGCTGGTAGCCAGCAAGCCCCAGCATTGGGGTTAGAGGTGAATTCATAGCTGACTATAAGCAATGGCCTGGGGTGGTTAAAGCAGGAGGACAGAGTTCAAGGTTAGGCTGGGCTACATATTGAGACCCTGTCTCAGAAAGAAAAAAAAGAGGAAGTTTTAAAAATTAAAAATGCATTAAAATTTTTACCTATTTCAACATCTATGTAAAGGACGCCTTTATCTTCTGTTGCTAACCCTGGTTTTCTATACTGACTCTGTATCTTAGCACTTGGAACAGGATTTATAGGAGACCCTCAGTTCATGCTTACTGGAAGATAAGCTGTAAGTGAGCTCACCTATTTCTGTTAGTCAAAGCAATTTCAACACTAGGTTTAGAATTCTGTGAAACAACACCTTTACAGTGTTGGGGGAACAGGAAACAGGTTTTCTCCAATCTAAGATTTTTGTGAAATTCCTCCCTTTGGCCTATGCAGTCTTCATGCCTATCACTTGATCTATAAAAGTGAAGAAAAAGGTACAGGGGACTTAGGGACATCCCAGTGTCCCTAACAACCTGAAGATAACCGTTCAGTAAAGAGAGAAGCTTTTTACCCTGGTATACTGGACCAAGGAAGTAGGGAAGTTAGGGGAGCTGCTGTCCCCATAGAGATGAGGTGAGCCAGGTCCTGGGCAAGCCCAGGTAGCAGCTCAGTGCTGGGGGAAGCTGCCTCTTTGTGGAAGTGCCTGGGGGAAGGTCTGGGCAAGGCGTTGCACGGAGACTTGACTGCATATTTCTTCCTCAAGGAGGACACAAAAAAGGTCAGGATCTGTGTCCTGATAGTAGCTTATTATCAGCTGTTTTGAAATGATGTTTTTAAAAAAGAAAAGTCCATTTGTGTACATTTTCCCTAGTGATAAACTATTTGTAGCAGTATCATCAAATGGAACAAAATCTACCATGGAGACCTATAAAAATGGCTGGTCTGCATCCAGTAGACTGTGGAACAAGCAGAAAGCCAGTGCATTGAAATTAATGACTGTCTGGCCAATCCAATGACCACTCCATTTGTCAAAGAAGTTGTTTGTCAAATTTACCAATTGTTCTGTTTGTGCATTTTTTTAATTTTTTTGGTCTTTTTGAGACAGGGTCTCCCTGTAGCCCCAGCTGTCCTGGAGTCACTATGGAGACCAGGCTGGCCTCGAACTCACAGAGATCTTCCTGCCTCTGCTTCCTGCGTGCTGGGATAAAAGGCATGTGTCACCACGTCTGGCCTTGTTTGTGCTTTTAAGAGTCTTTAAATGGAAAGTTGAACTTGATTACTGATGATGAAAGATTTTTTCTGAATATTAAATAAGCTAAGATTGATACAACACCAGAGAAACTGACAAGAGAGCCTAGAAACTGCTGTAAACATAGGATAATACCAGACAGCACAGGCCACAAGACCTCGTGTACCTGAAATGTTCCCCCAGACACCATGGTAACCTGCCATTTGTGAGGGGTTTGTTTTGGCTCCTCGTGACTTCTTTCAGACGCTTTGGAATCCTACTTTTCTATCCCAAGGTTTTGTTTTTTTTTTTTTTGTCTTTTTGAGACAGGGTCTCCCTGTAGCCCCAGCTGACCTGGAACTCACTATGTAGACCAGGCTGGCCTTGAACTCACAGAGATCCACCTGCCTCTGCTTCCCGAGTGCTGGGATTAAAGGCATACACCACCATGCCTGGCTTCTATCTGAAGTTTTACTCATTTAAAATATTTCTTCTGGGGCTGGAGAGATGGCTCAGTGGTTAAGAACACTGGCTACTCTTGCCGAGGACTTGGTTCAGTTCCCAGCACCCATATGGCACCTAACCACAGACTGTAACTACAGTTCCAGGGGCTCTGATGCCCTCTTCTGGCATCCATGGGCATTGCATGCATGTGGTGTACTTACATGCAGGGAAAACACTCCTGCACATAAAATACAAATACGTAATTTCTTTAAAGGGCCAATCTAGAGCAAATGAGAAAGAGCTGGTGGTGTCCTTCACTTTCCTGCCTTCCCAGGGCAACTCCCGCAAATGAACTTCAGTTAACGAACAAAACAGGCTGGGGTATGACAGTACACACTTTTGATTCCAGCACTCCAGAGGCAGAGACAGGTGGATCTTTGTGAGTTTGAGGCCGGCCTGGTCTATATAGAGAGAGTTCCTGGTCACTGAAGGCTACAGTGAGACCCTGTCTCAAAAAA